AAGACACAAAGCTTGGTTGAGATGCTCACAGAAAAGGCAGGACTAGATTACAATACGATGTTCATACAATGTCCAAACCACACAATGTCCTATTTCATAATATGCATAGTATGGACATCGTCTGTACTTTTGATTGTTAGATAGGAGGGATGAGGATTCATTGAAGGTTTCACTAGAAGAAAGGCTGGTAAGAAAGGAACAATTTTTAAAGGGAGGAGAGGAACTTTTCAGAGAGAAAATATGTACAGAGTACTCATCAAGATGCAAATAAAAAATAAAATGAGATAGTGGACTCTAAACTCAAAGCAAGATTTTTGTCCTTTTTTCCACTTAGATTCTCTTTTGAGTATAGCTGTGTTTCTTCATGCCATAATTACTTAATAAGTATCAACCACAAGCTAAGCATTATGCTCAAGAAGAATGACTTTTTTTCTAACTTATTCGCAACAAGCAATAATGCCCACTGTTGTCCTGTCAGTTTCAACTAATTATACCCTTCTATCAGGTTTAACACCAGCAGTCAGGAAACCAAAAGATGAATCACACTGAGAAAATGCGCTGTCAGGGACCTCACCAGGGTGCTGAAAGGAACAATGTCAGTCCAAAGACTAAGGTGCACCTAATGCAGGCTATGGTCTTCACAATTATTTGTTATGCATCAGAGAGCTGGACAATGACTAAGGATGACAGAAGAATCGATACCTTTGAGTTGTGGTGCTGGAAAGGAGTATTGAGCAGACCATGGACCAATCAGAAAACAAACAGGTCTAAACTAAACGGAGAGGGTAAAACCAAGCTGCTCCTTGGAGGCAAGGATTTTGAAGTTCCATCTTGCATACTCTGGGCACGTGGCCAGAAGGGATGAGTCCTTGGAGGACACTATGCTTGGAAGAGTAGAGGGACAGTGCAGGAGAGGAAGACCCTGGATGAGATGGACTGATACAGTGACTGGGGTAATGGCAGTGGATGTGTCAGAATTAGCAAGACTGGCTCAGGGCAGGGTTCAGAACTGCTGTACATAGGTTGCTATGGATCACATAACAACAACAACATCAAGTTTCCAAGTATATATACCTTTACTGCAGGAGACTATCTTACTCCTGTAGAGCAGTTGGTGATCAGAACTGTTCATCTAGAGTTACAACCCTGTATGTCTGCAGTCCAGTCCATTATAAACTGCCCTACAAATAACTTATAGGATAATCTTCAGTGGAAGATCAGCAAGTGATTGCTAAGAAATTGATGATGATGTTTAGAATAAAAGTCACTATGACACTGCTTTGAATGTTTTAGGGACAGTATATTATTCAACATTAAAAAAAACCATTTTAATTAGGTATTGTTTGCTGGTTTTATTGTTTTGTTTTTAAAACCTTATTGTCTACAGGGAGTACTAACAGAGACCACAGTTTCTAAAAGGTTAGGCTCTTTAATTAGGTATCCTTATTAGATGCCATCAAATAAATTTTGGCTCAAAGCAATCCCATGTGGCACACTCAGCTCCTAACTATTAATGTGTACTGAGTCACTTTTTTTTTTAACTGTAAGCCAAGGCTACAAATGTCTGACAGCCACTGCCAAGTCACTTGTTCCTTTTTCTCACCATATTTGGAAAATTCTTACTCATTCTTCTACGTCGGACAAGGCTTACTTAGCTTTTTGGCTTTTCTGACTCTACACAGGAAGTGGATGACACTAGAAAACCAATTACATTATGCTTTTATATGTTCTCTACAGACTGAAATAAAAAGCACAGTCTTAGTCATCTCTTTGGTTCAAAACTCTGTGCATTTTACTTTTAGTCCAAGAACTGTCCATACTTCATCCTCGAATATCCACCTAGAGAAACAGTGCTGATCTTAAGACTCTAAAATAGTTTAAAATGTGTAGCAAGACTTTACATAAGCAATTTGTAAAATAAGCCAGGGACTCAAAAAAGCACTGCCATCTCTTATGGGGTGTCACCAACTTAAAGCTGGCCACGCAAGGTCATTTCAGAGGCTATAAACTACCAGGGAGAAGCCTGCTCATCATCTTCCTGCCTAGTGGCACTGCCTTTCCATTAGCAGGACAAATCCTATGCCACAAGCCAACAACTAATTACTAATGTATAATTATGGAAGATGTTATGCTGAATAAAATACAGGTCACAAATGCACAAATAATATGAATTTACAATTATTTTAGGAAGCAATGGTGGCCTAAATGGTAAGGAACTGTGTTACTAACTCAAAAGCTTAGCAACACATCAGATGCTTCTGAAAACCCACTGAAGTTATGGGTCAGGTGATAACCCAAAGACTTAGTAATCCCATGAGATTGCATCTGAAAACCCACTAGAGTTTATGGGTCAGTACAGCCTCATATGTTGTTGCTGTTGTGTACCCTCAAGTCAAAACCAACCCACAGCTGACCATCCAGCAGGTTTTTCAGAGACAGTTAATCAAACTAAGGGGTTTTCAGAGATAGTTAATCAGACAGGAGGAGATTGCTCAGTATTCTCCCATGGAGCAGCTGATAGATTCGAACCGCATGGCTTTGCGATCACAGCACAGTTTCTTAGCACTAGACAAACTGGCAACACCATGCAGGATGGAGAAGAGAATGAGATTGCTAACAATTTCAGTCCACAATCAACACTCTTAGCACCAGCAGCCAGGAAATCAAAAGATGAACTGAATTAGGAAAGTCTGCTGTCAGGGACCTCTACAGAGTGCTGAAGAGCAAAGACATCACTCTGGAAACTAAGGTGCACCTGATCAATGCCCTGGTCTTCACAATTACTTGCTATGCATCAGAGAACTGGACAATAAATAAGGATGACAGAAGAATTGAAGCTGTAGTGTTGAAGAAGAGTACTGAACATACCACAGACTCCAAAGAGAACAAACAGATCTGTCCTGGAGAGGGTGAAATCTAGTTGCTCTCTGGAAGCAAGGATTTTGAAGCTCTGTCTCACATACTTTGGGCACATGGCCAGGAGGGACCAGTCCTTGGAGAAAGACATCATGCTCAGAAGAGTGGAGGGACAATACAAGAGAGGAAGACCTCAGCTGAGAAGGATTAACCCGGTAATGGGGGCAGGTGAGTCAGACAGAGAGACTGGCTCAGGATAGGATAGAGCTCAGATCTATGTGTAAAGGATTGCTATGAGGTACAGGCAACTAGAGGGTACATAACAGAACAATAGACTCATAACAATTAATAAAAAAAAAAAAAGAAAAGGTTTACACACTGAAATTCTCTGATGACTACCATAGACAAAGAGAGAAAAAAAGAATTCAGTACCTAGATAAAGGACACATTTTTAAAAAAGAGAGAATAAATAAAATATCTATGCCACACATAGCTAACACTTGAAATACTATGCTGAGTAAAATAAGTTGCTGACAAAGGAACAAGTACTGTACTTGAATCAAATAAGCAAATATCTAGAAAACAAGTATTACTAATGGTTCCAAGCAGTAGGGGGGAAGTCAATGAAATTTACATTTAATAGAGTAGAATGAGGACAGAAAGACTGGTGGTTAAAGAAAACTGGCATTAACTCCTAAAAGTGGATTTCCTCACCATAATAAAGAGAATTGACCAATCAATGTCTCACATTCTGTTGGGTAAAAGCCAGGGAGCTCTGGTGGTGTACCCGTTAGGAACTCCAATCTAAAGGCAACTCCTCATTAATCAGAACTGGCTTTGACAAGCACTATGGCAATTGGACAATTAAAACAGACATGGGCGGGGGAGAAGAACGAACTGGGGAGGAGGGTAGAGAAAACAGTGCAACAAAGAATGAATGAGAACTCAAAATCTCTGTAAATGTTCATTAAAACTAATAAAATTTAATAATAATTAAAAAAATAATAAATAAAGGCAACTCCTCCATGGCAGAGTGCACCAGGCAGAAGAAGAACGATAGACAATCTCCTCCCATGTTTTTGTTGGGCTTTTAAAAAAATCCATGAACATGATCTGAACATCTAAATGCATACAAAACGATCTTATTGATTTTAAAATAATGCAGAGCAATACATAAAACGTGATCTCAATGTGTTTTTGGTTTTTTTTTTAATGTGAATATAGGCCAAAAAAATTAAGAAAGATACCATACCAAGCAGCAGGGGATCGTTGGAGTAAGGATGTTGGACTGTTACACTTAATTTCAATATTGCTTGCAATGAGAAAAAAAAAATATTCACAAGCATGCACTTTTCTTAAACTGTAAAATAAAAAAACTGTTAACCTGCCTGGCATTGCTAAATAAAGTTCTGTGGTATAAAACATGTTTAAATCAAATTGCCTTTTAATATCAGAAACTGCGATGCAGTTCTGCTTAATGCCAAGGGTTCCAAGCATCTTTGACAGATTCCTTCTCCCAGGTGTCTAAATACCAAAGCTCAAATCAGCCTAACACAATCTATACTGATGAGAGAAAGAACAGCACCATTTCCTCCTAATGTAGCATTAAAATAATGATTTTTTTTTAACTGTTTAAGAATCGCTGGTGTGTATGCTGATCAAATGCCACATCACGAATTCCATCTCCTCATACTGTTTCAGGAGGCCTGGGATGTTTTCTCCTAAATGCATATGTTTATTCAAGCGCTGGACTCTCTGACGCCGATCGTCTGCAGCCTTAAAAACTACTCTCTTAGAAATACCGAAATTATTCTCCCGACATTCCCGCCTCTTTATTCCAAAGTGTCTCGGTGCTACAGATAAAACAACGTCAACCCAATTCTTTTTGGCTCAGACTTGTAGGAGACAGCCCAACAGTCGGCGCTCATTTTTTCTCTGGACAATTTCCAGTGCACACACAGTATTTGTCTTGCAACCCTTCCCCCACTAGCCTTGTTCCGCCAGGCGCGACTCAAGGCGGCCACCCAGCCAGCCAGCTCCTCCCGCACGGCCATCCACGTCCGCGGCCCGTGCCACTGGCTGCACGGCCGCCGGCTCCCCACAGTACAAATGGACACCTCGCGGCTGGGGCGGAAGAACCACACCTTACGGCTGCTCCATGAGTCGCTCCCCTGCCGAGTCCGCGGGGAGGGGTGTCAGTCACACAGCTGAAGGCCTCGGCAGCATTTTGAAAGGGCGAGTAAAGAAGGCGCAACTTCCGCCCTCTCAAATGCCCTTCTGGCAAAAGCTTCCGGTGAGACATTTGGAAACCAGCGATAGGGACAGTTTGGAGGACTAGAGAGCTAGACAGGCGGAGTCTACCATAGAGACGGCCCCTAACCCGGGGATAGGGTGTCTCAGGATCTGGGCGAAGAGATACTCGAAAAGACTGAGGAAATGAGATCGTTTTGTAATATTTACCAGTGTCCCCACTCAGAAGATCAAAAAACAGGGAGGAGAGAAACCTAAAAATAAAGAGAAGCAACTTAGCTACTCTCTCTTTGCCACTCCCTCTGTCTCGATCTTATCTAACGATAACTGCAAAGAAGAAACAACCTTTCTAGACATGTAGCTAATAGGGAAAGACAAGACCAATATACACAAAAGTAACAACGGGAGATGTGATAAACGCTAAAGGGAGGTGTGAAGAAAATGAAGAACTTCTTTTGGATCACAGCAACGACAATTGTGTCGTTTAGTCTAACCTTGCTACTTATAAAGAGAGCCTGCAACAACTTCCCAAACCTGCTGTATTTAACAATACCAAATACATCAGTGTCTCCTACAAATACCAGATTTTCTTTATCGCAGCATGATTTCAAATGTTAGAAGATTTTACTGAGCTGATATCTTGCAATTTTTTAATAAAAATTTTTAATTGTGATTTTAACAAAGGTTTAAAGAAAAGTTAGATTTTCATTCATTCTTTGTTGCACATTTTAACCCCCTTTTCTCTCCAATCCTCCTCCCCAAGGTAACTTTATTTTTATATTAGTTTATTTACAAAATTCTAATACATTGTTTTCGAGAACAGATTCTTCCAATTTCTCTCACTTTAAGAAACAAAAAGTATGCTTCATGCTTGCCCATATTAATTTCATTCAATTATATGAAGACCGTGTTGCATCAATGGGCTCAAGTACAGCAACTGTCACAAATTGAACGGTATTTTACTGTGCCATGAGTCCACTCAACAGCATTTTTTTGTTGTTGTTGATAATGATATTATTTTTATTGTTTTTCTCTCTTTTCCCACATACTGAGCTTTTTTAAAAAAATTTATTTTATTAATTTTAGTGAATATTTACAGATTTTGGATTTCCATTCATTCATTGTTGCACTATTTTCTCTATCTCCCCTCCCCCAGTTCATTCCTCTTTTTATTCTCCTTGAAAGTCTGTTTTAATTGTCCCATTGCCACAGTGCTTGTCAAAACCAGTTCTGATTAATCCCCTTTGTCAGTGTGTTCTTTGCCTTTCCCTATCACTCCTCCCTGAGAGAGATTTCACCCTGATTCATAAGGAAAGGGGGACGGAGTATTCTCTCAGCTACTTCCTGCTGAAAAGGGACGCTGTAGGCTTCAGGGTGAAGATCTTCTCTCACACTCTAAAGGGCCCCTTTGGCAATAGGAAACATGTAGACTATTGTGGAGATTGATTTTGGAATTTAGAAGCACTGTTATCAAGTGTGCTTAGCCATACATATTCATATCCTTGAAGTTGCATCATGGAACTGTTGCAGCCTAGAAGACACAAATTTAACAAGTTAAAAGTACA